AGCAGTTGTTTTGCTTTCAATGAGTGAATTATCACAGTTTAATTTGTTAGTGTGAAAAATTTCTTTAGTGGTTACAGCATTGTTACATTTCCTTCTTGAAGCTATTGCTATATTGTGTTTGCAGTTGCATGGGATGAGTTGAAATTGATGGAATATGTATATGCTAACAGAAAGAAGGGAGGGTATGATTGTTCCGATCTACCATCTGAGCACCCCTGCATTATTGCACAATGTCACTTGGGCCTATATGCTTCCCAAAGGCTGGCAAACCTACAGGAAAGGAAAAGGCTGTCTGAATTCCCTGTAGCTTATATCCAATGTTTCTTCTCTGCATAGCCCTTTTATCACCCAAGGCTTGAGGTCACTAGGGAGCCGAGGTCACTGAAAGTCAGGAAATCCAGGCTGGCATTGCCATCTGCTTGTGGATGCTCACTACGTACTATGGATAGTCAATTACTTTTTGTCAAGGTCTAGTCACAGTCCAGACTTCAGAGAAGAAAATAATAAAATAAATAATAAAAAAAGATTTCAGGGTCTGCCTATTGACTACCCTGCCCTATACTATAGATGTCCACTACCAGCTGTTTGGAGGAGCAGACCTCTGTAACACATAGGTACACAAACTAAGAGCTCCAGCAATGAAGTACTAGGTACCTCTGCAAGCTTCTGCTAGAATGGGGGCAAGGATGAAAAGTATGTATACTGTAAAGATGCCTTGCCCTTTTAACCCAGTAGTTTTCCATAGGTTGAGCAGACGGTACTTATTTAAGACATTGAAAAGCATTATTCTAGTACTGTAAGATACTGCTCTTTATTTATATCTTTCTGTTCAGTACATTACATCTTCAGCACAGACAAATTGGCTAAGATATACTAATTTTTCAAACAGCTGCTGTGAGAAGACTTACAGAATGGCACTGAACTGAGTGGCCAGTGCCCACAGGAGTTATTTGCTAGTACAGAATGGGTTGTTGCAGGAATCCTTCCCTTACAAGACTACATGAGTGAACAGGTCCTCTTAATTTGCATACCTTTGAAAAATCTTCCCACTCACCTAAAGATTCAATATATCAAGCCTGAAAGCAATTTTAAGAGAATGTTAAGTTTGTAGAGTTTGAATTTCCCATACAGCAACTTTTATTAGCAGTAATGCACACAGCTTAACATGCAGCACCAAGCCACTTAATGTGTTTGTCTAACTGCAAATCAGTTGGAAGAATTGTTTAAAAAAAAAAAAAAAAAAAAAAAAAAGAAAAAAAACGTGAGGGTGTGTTGCACTAAACATAGTGTTAACAGCTGTCTGATCAAGAGGGCTTTGTTGTAAACAGAAAACATTTAACTATTCAGTTCTGAACCTTATTTAAGAATACTAGAGTAAACTTCCCCTTACACCTATCTAAAAGGGCTTTGCTCCACTGATTGGGGTGAAGTTTAAAAGATGGGATTCTTCAGAATAAAAATTAACTGGGTTGAGAATCAGGAAGTTATGTTGTGTCCCTACCAGGATGGCTGGCTGACCTTGGAAAGTCTCTAACCTCTCGTTTCCCACCTCTTTAAAATAGGGACAGTATTTAATGGCCCTATAAGGTGTCGTTTGTTTACTTAAACAGTACTTAGTTCTTTTCAAAAAGCAACAGAGGGTCCTGTGGCACCTATAAGACTAACAGAAGTATTGGGAGCATAAGCTTTCGGGGGTAAGAACCTCACTTCTTCAGATGCAAGTCTGAAGAAGTGAGGTTCTTACCCACAAAAGCTTATGCTCCCAAT